ATCCTTGATGTGGCGCGATCATGTGAAACTCACCTATCCTCATTCATTAAAATGTACAAAGTTACCGTAACGCATAAACGGCGCAGTACGAGCACGTTTCGAGCACGTGTCGCTAGGCACCGGCCAAGATTGTTCAAATGTCAAGCGTTTCATCGCCGAATCGCCTGTCAATATTTGCTCAGACAACATCGTTGTACCTTCCTCCTTGTTTCGTTTCGGTTGCAACCGCAGCAAGGCTGTCACGGGGCCTTGCCCGAACCAGTATTTCCAGGACGAATGTAAATTGTACGTTGCACCTTCATGAGCACAATGGAAAAACACGACACCGTCTCTCGGTTTCATTAACTCGTTCATACGAAAGCACACACGGTTCACGTAACTCGAACGTGTCAAATGTTTCGAATTTTCGGTTGGTCCTTGGACATTATGGGTATGCTTTTTATGATTATAAAACACAGAGAATTTTGTTGATTTTGTTTGCAGAGTGACGACAATTAATCATTGTAAAATTAAATTAAATTACGAAGAATAGCAGTTCTAGAAGTTTAAACGAATTTAGAAGAGAATTATGTGTAACGCCCTAGAAGATGTGATCCGCCATTTGTACGGCATTGGTAGCCAACAGCCATTTTGTCGGCACAACGGCGGGAAAACAGATCGCATTTAAATTATACCCTCATTCTATCGAGAAAATTATTCCTAATGTAGACAAAATAATTACATAGGAATAGTTTCTGAAATAGTAAGCATATAAATAAATTCTTTTGTCTCGTTTTATTTTAGAGCTTGATTTAAATCCACGCATTTTTGTTATTTGTCACGAACTTACTTGCGTCTATTACCGATGTTTCATGCTGTCAATGGGTATACATATATAACAAAGATATGGTATAAATGTTACGGAAAAATACGGTGCATGATCTAATCCGTCTGCACTCGGCGTGGATGATCGCCAAGCATCAATGTCGAACAATTGACGGAAATGTTGCACCACACTACTGGCTTGTCGGTACAGTCTTTGTCGCGTGATGTAAGAAACGTTCTGGTAATGAACTAAACTCAAATGGAAGCTACGAGCACGAAATTTTACGAATCAAGCTCGTTTTCCAGACATTTACGATATTGGAAATTTACAAACTAATTTATTCCGTTTTTATAAGTAGGATCCGCGTGATACGATCATCGAAAGGTAAATTATACTTTGATGAGTTTATTAATGAATATCGATTGTAAAATGATTACCGTATATGTTTTTTATACAGAATGTTCTGTAAGTAATAATGTCGAAACTCGACATTCATTTCCAAATAGTACCCACCGGAGGAATAAACACTCTCAAAATTTCCTTCGTAAAAAGTCGATCCAACTATTATATCTTCGCACTATCCTAAATGCAGTACAGTATTTCAGATCAATGTCTCGTATAATACCAATTGCTTCTTCGCGACGATTGTTATCTACTGAAGACAGAAACACGCATCGTGCACGAATATAACGCTTATAATCGGATCAGATGACTATGTTTCAAAATTCCCAATAATGAGAGGAATCGTTCTTATCTGAATTGCTGTATCGTTGCGTCTTTGTGAAACGAAACGACAGACGGCGTTTCCGAACACGGGTTAACAAGTCTATCTGGTGACCAATGTTATCGAAACACTCGAATTAACGGATCGATGGAATCTTGCTTTTTCCGAGTAACGACAACGAATATGAATGTTCCTTTAAAGTGGCCAATTCCGTTCGATTGGCGAGCAACGAGATGTCATCCGATTCCTTATCAGACGTTCGTCTGTCAGAACGTCAAAAACGAGAAATTCAAATCTCTCAGTGTCAATAGTCGCGATATTTTCCTCCGAGCATCGCAAAAAGTTTCGAGTGCTGATAATGTACGATGTCGAAACTATGCTACTAAATAGTATATAACTGTGCTACTAAAGAAACAATTTTCCCCCCTTGTACATTTTTATAAACATTGTCTAACACTTTTTTCTAATTATAATTTCAATTTACTGAATTAATAGTAATTAAATATCAAGATTTTTAGGAGATATTGAGATACTACTCTGTAACGAGGAGACAAAATAGATATATAATAAGTTCACCCTTAACTGGTCAGATGGAAACCTTATTATTTATTCTTATTACACAAATCTTATTACTTATTATAGAACTAGTTGTTGTGCATTTTGATCTAAGGAAACGTCGAAATAAACAAGCATCCTTGTGCCAGTTAAGGGCTAATTCGAGAAGTTCACCTGCCATGAAGAGACGATGTAAGAGAACACTACTATGAACGATGTAGGTACAAAGATAATTCTTGCCGCACAGGCCACAAGCCACTGAATTACAAGCGGCAAGAATTATTAGAGCAATGTGTACACTCTGAATGTAAACACGAGTTGTAGCCATGAATGACGGTGACAGTATGTATTAATATGTCTGGAACACCGTTAATGAAAATACCAAAGACTAAAAAAAAAAACATTCCACGTAATTTAACGCTTAAGTAATTACACTAAATATATTTAAAAATTTTCGCGATAATTTAGAGATCACTGAAATAATTTACAAGTCTCCAATGATTGCAAATCATTAGTGAATGATCAACCATTTCTAATTTACAGTTTATTTTATTTTCATTTACGTCTCTAAAAATGATTTTGTTAACAAAAATGGGATAGATTTGTGTTGAAGTCGAAATGATAGGTTTCTAATTTAGATTCTAATTTATTTTCATTTATATCAGTCTATCAATTTGGTAACAGAAATGTTCGAAGAATCGATTTCTGGTTAATTCCGATTTTTTCAAATTATTTGAACAAATTGTACAAATATTACCTACTGCTAATCGCATTAATGAAAGACAGGTTCTGCAAACATGGTTCGATAAATGGTTTCTTACTATACTACACACATTGGAAGCTTTATTTGTTCTTCCAATGAGTATCGGCTGGAATCGAAAAACCACCCCAATACATAGTAACAAGCTATATTAAGTCACATATACCTAAACACATCAAACCACCCTCAAATTTTCAAACAGAGGATTAAAACATATCCAAGCAAATTAGCAGCACATTAATCACAGTGTACCTAAAATTTAATTGCACATAAATCTCTACATTAAAAGTTTCTTAACACGTTCACTGCCCTAATGGCCACCGGTGACCAGTGCTCTATGAATTACTCAAAGAAAAGCATTCAAATTCTAAACAATAACATTTACAATCTCATAAACAGAATCAGTAGTAATCATCGAAACAGTTCCTGTACAAATCGTTACATACATAAATATTTATATTTACAGACTCCTCTCGATTATCGTCTACCTTGTTCTATACGATTATTGTCCAGGCGTTATCCCCACCACCGGGGGAGGGAGGCTTGAAACCTGTCAAACGCATACTTTGTTGCCCCTCAGCTCTTTTTGCCCAGAAAAACGAATTTACGAGAGTCTGAAGCATTTCTCCCTATAAGATTATTGTCCCAGAGTTCGGGACGATAAACGAGAAAAGTCTGTATAGTAGTATTCGGATAGTAAAAATTCGTGTCAATGTACGATCGTAACGGACGGACCAAACGGCATCGGCCGCGGAAAGAAACCGCAAGATGGCGGCCGGTGTACGAAAATAAATAGCAAAATTAACCCTTAAGTAACTGAGATAATGGAAGTTTAAGTGCCCGAAGAAAGGCGTCCCCCCGAATAGCTTTCGCGGTCAATTCGATACGTCAATGTCATTCAAATCCATTAACTGGCTGCTGTCAAGTTCAGGCTGAATTAAGAGCCGTTACCCGATAAACTTATCAATATACGTACACGTAAAAACACCGAGGTCTCGGTATCGGCGAGAACATCAACACCCGTTTACACGTGAATCGGTTGTTTATCTACCGAGCACGTTGACACGCAAACCGTATCCCAACAGAACGCTTCTATTTCGCAAGTTAGGTTAATCGGTTTTCGCGTAGACCGCGCAGGGTTACACGTGAAACGCAGAAATAACGCCAGGAAAAACCGGCCGTTCGTTCCTCTATAATCGTGGTGTCGACCCAGATATAAAACAGTTTATATTTAAAACCTTCCCGCGAATCAATCTGAACGGACTTGTAACTTCCGCCAACTGTCTCGCCGGAATTGCGAAAGGAAACAGTGGAATCGAATCGAATGAACTTCGGCAATGTTTACGTTTTCGCTCTGGAACCCGACGGGAGTGAACGAATTTTTGTTTAAATTCCTGTTTGTGAAAAGCTAGAAAATTGGTTGTCAATTACTGACACGTGAGTACGTAGGTATAGTTATTATTAGACTAAGAATGTTTATGCGAATTCGTTATCTTTGACGTCAATTTACACGTAGACAGAAACTTATTTCACGTGCTAGATGTATTGTTATATGAATGGTAACAGAAAAATATTATTAGATTGTATTGAAATTGTCGGTTTTACTGTGCACAAGCATCCACGGTAAACAACTACGAATGTTTGTGCATTCACGCCATCTCCTAAATTGCAAAACAATGTAATATTTTTATACGGTTCAATACTATTTATATATTATTACGCTGGTAAAAACTCCAAGTAAATGATTCAAAATTGCCTCTAATTTCAATTCTTAAACATTAATATTTAAAATCCTCCATTTTGTATATACTCCCGCGGCTAACGTATCAAGTGTCTATCTACGTCGACTCCAAATACTTCAGACCCTAAGAACGAAGAGAAACAATGACAGAAGATCACCAACGGTCTCACTATTTCCGTGAAAAATGAATAATCCAACCGGCGAACGTTATGAACTCACAGGAAATGATATCGCTGTGTCGCTCAATAAAGTAGCAGCGTTAAGAACGCGTGGAAAACTCTTCATTTCACTTTCGATCAAGCGGAAACGTTTAAAGAGGAAGTGTATGTGAAACCGTGAGAATAATTCGAGAGGTATATTGAATATCGTGTTTGTGTGTGTGTACGAAAAGCAGAAAGAATTCGCAGTGACTTACTTTTTCGTTGTCAATTCAAAGTATCCAGATGCGAGTACGGGTACTGGTGACCCATGGATGGCGGCCGATTGTCGTCCGATCTGTGAACACGTGCAACGGTCGGCTGCTTCCGCACGACTGAAACTGAGCCGCGCTACTCGAGAACACCGGAGTCAACTCAGTCAACCACCAAAGACTGGCCTGTTCCTTGCTGCTACTCCGCTGCTGTCCCTCGAGCGGTGGTGTGTGAGTGTCTTTCTTGGCTGGTCCTCCGACGCCCAGCGAGCAGAACCGAACACCACTGGGTGGACCCTGAAATTCATCGTCGACGTGTTACACCCTAGTGTTAACCCCTTAAGACCCAACATTTATTATTGACGCAACATTTTATTTACACTTTTTTTCAGTGAATCTACATTATAGAAGATAAAATTTAATTCAGCATATATTCACGGCTGGTAGTAAGCTACCTAAAGAATACTCCATATTATCTCGGAAACAAAATAATTTTCTTGTAGAAATAATAAATAAAGTCACGGATTCTTAAGATGTTACACCGTTCGAATGTCTTTTACTGGAAACATTTGTAACAACACACGCATGAAAAGAGTGTAGAATCGTTGCCGTTATGTTTAATGACGTTCACTTGCGAAAACAAGAAGATAAGTTATGAGAATTATGAATTTTTCTTTTTCAATATCTCGTACCATTATCTTTTGTAATACTTTTTCTGAATTATCTCGTCTAAGCGAGTACTAAAACCGATTCTATTAATCTGTTGTTGACCTTAGCCTCTAACAAATCCAATTTTTTCAGTACTTTGTGTTCCAAGATTACTATTCTAAGATTTGATCGGTAGCCTATTGCAATTTTTCAAGACTGTTCGATCGATTTACGACAGCTTAAAGTCTTTCCGCGCATACAATCATACGCGACATATACGAACGATAACGCAACAATAAATCGATTAAAAATTTTTCTTCGCAAGCATAATGCAATTCAAATGTGAATAATTATTCCGAGAGAATGCGAGCACGCAACGTATGTACGTATGTATGTAGTAACAATAAGAATAATTTTTTCAATTTAACTCATTCAAAAAAAAATATCAGTTTACTACAAAAATTGAAATTTCTACGTAATCAATGAGAAATACGTTAATACATTTTTTTTACCTTTTATTCGTTGTTCGAAACTCTTTATCCCGATAATGAATTCACCCATCTCTGTTACACACCATCGTCGGCATTGTGAGTTACTTCCGGGACAATGGTGGGTTTAAGGTCGGCCAGTGAAACTCGACGGGAAGAATGGAATCAATGACGGTTTGGCCTCCATAGACATCCTTTTTGTCGGATCCGTGCTCACTGACCTGTTGCGTGTGAAACAATCCCCCGTACATTACCTGGTTCGCGTGCAAGTAATAGTGTATCCCAATTGCGTTCTGATCGTATATCACGATATCGCAATGGCACGCGCGAAAATTCCTAAGATGATAGACCTATTCGTTCTAATAGGTTCTTAGTTTACTTATTTTCATTGCCTTCGAGTAACAAAAAAAGTTAACGAGCCCGTTCTTTTTTTACCGTTTCTGCAATTATGGAAGTAATATACCATGTCGTCCGGAAAAGGGAAATACACCGATTGCATTAGTCAGCCGAATTTATCCATTGTACACCAGGTGTGGTTGTACCCGAGCGAAGGATCTGTTGAATTGCGCCTTCCCATTTAATGGGGACCATAAATGGAAACGAGGCCGTACGTGTATGTAACGTTTTTATGGGCGCGGAACGACCTTAAACTCAACCAGCCATGGACGAATGCATAATATACCTGTACACGACATGTTTTGTTAATTCGGTATCTTCGATTTCTATATGGTTATCAAAGTTTAATGGACGCTCCTGAGGTTGGCTGAAAGGAACAGTACAAAATGGTATATTATTTAAAGTCAGATTGCGGATTTCGTGCATTCGCAGCACACACGATTGTCTGAAATCCAGTATGCTGAAACATTTAATTAGGTTTAATAAAGTTTCTGTTTAATTTGAAATTGCGATACCTTCCGGCGGAGAAATAAACTTGTGCTTGATTCCAGTTTCTGCAAATTATTCCGTGAAATCTCCTATTTTCACAAACGTCTGAGGCTTATTATGATATTACGTGCTCTAATAAAGGGATCCACTACTTTTGAAGCAGCCGCCATTTCTTCTAACGTTCTTCGTTATCGATCGAAACATCTGGAACTATTTAAAAATTTTTTTTTATATTCTCAATTTACGGAAAGTGAAGATAGTAAATTATGTATTATGAGAATATTCCATCAAGATTGGATACATGGGTAAAAGTTACGTTTAAGAAACTATGTCAAGGTCAAAGTCATCGAAGCTGCATTCCCTAAACTAATTTTTACCAAATTAAAAAATATACCTTTGGAACGAAATAGATTTAGACGTTAAAGTATAAAAATTTGTGTTTACAGTACACATTATTGCATTTTATTACCGTTCAATTCTTGAAACTTATCGTACCTAGATCCTTCGACAAAAAAAATTATTTAATCTGAGATACATGCAAAACGATTTTCAAATCATCACACGAAAGCAACGTTTGTACTGCTTGTAGTCGTTTAATTACTTTTACTGGAATAAATGTTACGTAACACGGGTTTCGTTTTTCTTTCACTCAACCTTGATTCCCTATCACGAAGATCTAAGACTAATGTAACACAATAATGTTGCAAAAACGTCGTACGTCCAACTCGTTTTCTCGATTTTAGTGTACATAAACGTCTGCGGATTACGTCTCTCGCTTAGTCACGCGGATTTAACGAATTGTCACCACAAAGAGTTTTATCAACGATACCTGTACCTTTGAGGATCAGTAGATTTACCTTCTATCGTTATCAACTACATCAAACTTGCAAACACGCGGCTTCAAGTGTGATCGCCGTAAAAAGTGTGAATTTTTTAACAGAACAGTTACACTCGTATGTCGTGAAGCGTCGGTAAATTCATCAATCGTAATAAGGATTATGTGTAGGTAGCGTGATGATTACGATTTCTATTAATAATAAAAATGCCTCGAACGATCGCTGTGACTTCTTATTGATAACACCCCAGAGCCACTCGATTTTGTCGCTTTCTTCTCATCTACATACAATAATGTCTCGATAAGTGCAACGTACTGGGGTCCAGATCGGGACATTCATGATCAAAGCGGAAAATTTTTCAACCCCTGATAAATTTGTTTTTTGCCGGAAGTCGAGCCTGTGCTTAGCTTCTGTTTACTCTGTTTTGATTGGTTCTACAAGAGGACTCCCCCAGTGGTGGGAATAACGAAAGATTATACCTTTGCTGTATAAATCTTTCACAACCCATGAATCACGGAAGTGCCCCCCATTATGCGATCGCGAGGGAGTTCTCTGCGTCACGATTATTTTATCTTCGTATCTCAGCAACAACGGACCCCAAATTTTCCACTCTGGTGACGCAGACCTAACTACCGCGATCAATAATAGAAAAAATTCTTCACCTCTTAAATAATAGACGAGCTGCAAACTTGTACTGAGACTTTTGTTCTGTTTCGTGACTTCTTGAAGCCCTTAACGTAAGAAATGAATTTTTATTTCTAGTGTGGAAAAATAAATTTTCAAGATTTTCAGCGGTCTAATGGTAACGAATACTAAAAGAACTACGAACATTTATACAAATTCAGATTTCTATAGTTAATTAACAAGAGCAGGAACTAAATAAGAATATAATTTCTTTATTAATGACTTGATTAATTGAGAATGAAAATAAAACCTATATGTTCAACATTATACTCAAATATATCTACCATGTATAAATGTATAAAAAACCGCAGTCTAATTATTAAAGTAGCACATTAAGTTGATTTTCAGCATTCATAACATTCACATAGCCCGATAATGAAACATTATAACTATATTTTTTCTTCATCTGTAGTTTTGAGACCTAGGACTCGTCGCAGCAATAGACGAACAATAATGCAAAAAACATACCAAGTTATTTATTTACGTACATAGATCGAACACTAATCGGTCCCAATGCTTAATTTTTCGACTTATCGTATAATAGATATCCCGTTCACAATTCACACAATCTTATTTATCAGATTTACTAAAGAATTTTACTTGATACGCGGAAGAAATAGTGTATGTCCCATCAAAAACGGAAAGATTTGTTGAACGTTATCGCATTCATCGGCAGGAGCTTAACAGCCCGTTTATGGGGACCATGGAAAATTCCCATCGTATGGAAAACTTTTGAAATAATACCCCGACAACTATACAGGGTGTAACAAAAATGTTGAAGGACCCGGAAATGAGAGACTCGTGAGATAATTTGAAACAAGTTTTTGCTTAGTTGTTGTTAATGTTATCCAAGGCTTTGTTAACGAGATATTAATCACCTCACGAGTCTCCCATTTCCGGGTCCTTCAACATTTTTGTTACACCCTGTAGAAGCCGTACAAGTTTCGTGGAAAATTTTCTTTCGTGAGAGACCGAGGGGGGCAAACAGTGACTAATGCGACCCAAACAAATCCATTCTCCCTCCTAAGTAGATATTTTACAATTTCACTTGTACCCAAATCAGAAGCAAAGAATAATAACGACCATGTCCAGTTTTCATTTCTTTACTTTCGAGGCCACGGCGTTGCATAAGGGGATCCTGAGATATAGTAAATAACCGGCGACTCACGGGCCCTGGATTTCGGTTTTATTTTGTGTTTTAAAGCTACTATTTAGAGAGTGGTGCCAAGACACGCTCGCTCTCGGAAGAGGATCGAAAATAACTGAGCCTTTCGCTAGCTTCTGGTCACTGACCGACAAGTTTTGCGACCTACGAATAGTAGAGGAAACAAAGGTGCGCTGTGTCACGATAACGAGGCGTTTCGATATTACATACGAACGATCCGATTTTTCGTCGTGGCAATAAATCTTTCGTATACAATACAGTATACACACACATACACACACACACGGTAACGTTTTGTTTGTAGCGTGAACGGGTGCAAGATGTATCGAACTGCTGTTACAAGAACAAACGGCTGTTTACCGATCTTGTAATCGAGAATTCCCTATGACAGAATGCAACGTTACAAAGAACATAGATATTCGAGAAATTAATGATAGATGTGTAGAAATGACCGGATTATTTGTAAGGGCGTGGATAAGTTACATTCATGAAATTCACTGTACATTAATCAAAATAGCAAGATGCACCATGTTACGAAACATATTGTAGCAGTATTTACGTTGTGTATTAACAGCAATATTTCAAAAAATTCCAGAAAAGATAGAAAGACATATAATTTTAATTGTTCACTGTTGACACTTACAAACGAAGTACAAACAACTTTCGATCACTGGTTGTTATTTGACTGATTGACTTCACCTCAAAATCAGTTCTTTCAAGAATAGAAACTAACGGTCTTACTCCTACCCAGGTATTTTACAGGTATATGGGTATTCTGCACATACCTGGACGTCGTGAGCACAAACAGTTGTAATTAAATCTACTTTTAATAATTCCCTTATGTCGTATGAATCGTTTAGGATGTACATGTATTGTTTAAACAGTATTTCATCACTTAAATATTAAATAAATATTTAAATGATCAAATTCCTTATTTTGTAATAATTAAATCGTAATAATATCTAGAAAATATAAACTATAAGATTATGACTTACGCTTTTAAAAACGGGTTAAGTTTTCGTATTAGATGCATTTAGAGACTGAATTTTATTTCGTGAAATATTCTTTTCACTTTTTCTGCTATCTTATGTGAAAATTCTGCTCATGCGAATCAGTCAGATGAATACCTGTAAATACCTGTGTATTCCTATTTACCAGTATACGTATTACACTGTGATAACAAGCAAATATTAATAAATGCAATACAAAATGGCTGTGTATATAACATATAAAATAAATTATTTGAACAATTATCTTAAACTGTGTGTACTGTATATTAGACATGAAGTTAAAATGATTCTGAATCACTGTTAGTAAGAGCAACAACAGTAAAGCACATTTCTTCTGGGTCACGAGCCATATATTCTTTACAAACACGTGCTGCATCTTCTAACATTGTTTCTGGATTAGTTGAACCATGACTGATAGGCCCAAATTTTCGTCCATCTGAAAATTTCAATATTCAACAATATCATTGTAATATTTTAATATTGGCTGTTACTATTAACATAAGAATATTTACCTAATTCGTATAAAACTCCATTCTTTTGTACAAATGCTACAAAATGGTGATACACTGGTGTTTCTTCATTTGGTGCCTAGAACATATTTTGGATCACATTTTTTTAATTACCCATCAGAGAAAAAATACATACCTCTGTTTGTCCTTCATGTGCCATTTCTTCGTGTGTCTCACTAATTTCAGTTGACTTCATTAGAAGTTCTCCAATCTCTGCAGAAGAGAGATTCTTTGATTTGTCTAAGAAAGCTTTCAGGAAACCATCTTGAAGATTTATGCTGTAACAATAACAGAAAGTAATATATGACATTAGATCCAAATTCCATTGAATTTTATTATAACGAATTACCATAAACTTACGTATCTAAATTATTTGCAATACTGTGAATTAATGCAATTGTACCACAAGCATTATGAATGTATTGTTTCATATAATAAACTGCTGGATCTTGTGAACCTAAAGCACTCGTATCTTTTCCTTTAACAGCTTCTTCCTTATCTTCTAATGTATTACCATTCTATAAAGATAAATGTTACGCGTAACTGGATACAACTCTAACTAAATATAACCATGTAGTTCTAATTCTGAAACCTTTTTCCGTAAAGGATAAAGCAAAATAACAGCTACAACTGGTTTAGGTAGAAGTGCCAATAAATCTGGCTCCAATCCATAAACATCGACAATGCTCCATTCTTTTGGTACACCTAGTTGATGCATAAACTGCAAATATATATTCTATTACAAAATCTGATAAAGACACAGCTTTGATAAGTTAAAGATAATGATAAAGTTTATTTTATATCAACAGTAAAGTATTCTAATAATATGAAAATGTCATGTGAAAAATACTTTTAATGTATAAATATTCTAAATATTTACGACATATAAATATTACAATTGTCCTTATTAATTATCGCTCATCACGATGATTTACCTTCGTCATAACCTAAAACAAAGTGGAGAAACAATTAAATGATGTAATAAAACATGTATACCTATAATTTTCAAATTAAAATGATGTACCTCGGGGTTTGATTCCAATGGTATCCAAGAAGTCATGATAATTATTTTATTCTTGTTTTAAAAAAATACAAAAATCCGACAAAGTGCGATGGATGCGACGTTATAAATTCAAAACGCAATTCAACGTTCGATGGGTAATACAATAGCGTACCGCGTACCCAGCGTACCGCAGGATGCGTTCTGTTACTTTAAATTTTAGTGTAACTACTCTTCAATGAAACTTTTTAAGAAGGAAATTAATTGTAATAGATTCTGTTGGTTCACAGAAACGCACCTACCACATTAAAAGATACGTTACAAGGTTTAAAGTGTTAGTACTGCTCGCATGACAACCCGGCAAATTTACCGAAATGTTATTCCTTTGACACATGAGAAATATGTTAATGTTACGCGAATGTCATATTTCTTTATCATACTGAAAACAATTGATATGAAAGCAATCTCTGGCAATCTCTTATTTCTGCAATACACATCCAAATACATCGTACATATGTCGGTACATGTTCTATTGTAATTTATATTTGGTACAGTACCTACTTAATGAATATCGATATTAGTTTCTTGTTTTTTTTATAGTAAGTGTTTATATCTTTTGTTACAGTTTCAGTAACACTATTATCTTATAAGGCACTGGATATTTCTTTCAACAGGAATAGGTAAAGAAGTATATATGTTATACAATTAGTTGTATCATTATGTTAATTATTAAAGCCAACTCATTGTAACTTACAAATGTTTGTTACTTATAAATGTACTTATAATTGTACTAATGCATGTACTTATAAATGTTTTCAGTACATAGTAAGCAAGAAAATGTCTCTATGGATTCATATATTCTTGATTCATATTCTATATGCATTACATGGATCATCAAATGATCAATATATCCTAATATCATCAGATATAGAAAGTGCTGAAGTATTTCAACATGAAAAAGTACAAGCAAGTAAATATCTCCCAAATTGGAGTAGTTTGGACAGTCGACCACTTCCAAGTTGGTACAACGATGCAAAGTTTGGCATTTTTATTCATTGGGGTGTCTTTAGTGTTCCTAGTTTTGGCTCAGAATGGTTCTGGAATAATTGGCAAGGTAACTTACTATTTCTTATTACCTATAATATCTAAAATTGTATTATTTTGTCAGAGAAAATTCCACTTCTGTATATAGTTTAAAAAAGAATATTCGATGTACTATTTTCAGAAGAAAAGACTAGTACCAAGTACCACGATTTCATGAAAAACAGATATCCGCCAAACTTTACATATCAAGACTTTGCTCGTGATTTTACTACTGAATTTTTCAATGCTACTCAGTGGAGTGAAGTATTTCAAGCATCAGGCGCAAAATACATTGTACTCACAAGTAAACATCACGAAGGGTACACACTATGGCCTTCAAAATATTCCTTCAGTTGGAATTCTGTGGATGTAGGACCACGAAGAGATCTTATAGGTATTAATCATAGTTAGTTTGTTTCATTATCGTTGTAAATGAAATATTTTCTTTAATTAGGTGAATTGGCAATGGCAATAAGAAGTACAACTGATTTGAAATTTGGCCTGTATCACTCTTTATATGAATGGTATAATCCTCTTTATCTGCATGATAAAAGCAATAATTTTACAACGGATATTTTTGTTAAGCAAAAAATAATACCTGAAATGCATGAGTTGGTAGAAGAATATAAGCCAGAAGTTATATGGTCTGATGGTGATTGGGAAGCATCTGATAATTACTGGAAATCAAAAGAATTTTTATCTTGGTTGTACAATGAAAGTCCTGTAAAGGATACAGTTGTTACTAATGATAGATGGGGTGCTAATATACCATGTCATCATGGTGGATTTTATACATGTACGGATCGTTATAACCCTGGTAAATAATAAAATTTTATATTATAGAAACTTAGGTATCTATTTTATACTAAATTGATTTTGTATCAAAAACCATCAGGAACACTTCAATCTCATAAATGGGAAAACTGCATGACTGTCGATAGAAAATCTTGGGGTTTCCGTAGAGATGCTTCTTTATCGGAATATTTCACTTTACAAGAATTAGTAAAGGAGTTAGTAGTTACTGTAAGCTGTGGAGGAAATTTATTAATGAATATCGGACCAACGAAAGACGGTATTATTTCGCCAATATTTGAAGAAAGATTACGTGGGATGGGTATGTTGATCACTTGTGCATATAATTATTTTTATATTTTTAAGTATTTAAATGTATATGGTATATTAAAATGTTATAAAAAGTGCTTGTTTAATAGGTGATTGGTTAGCAATAAATGGAGAAGCTATTTATAATACTGAACCATGGGTTGTGCAAAATGATACTTTAAGTGGTAGCACTTGGTACACTCAGAATAAAGATCACGGCAAAATCTATGCACTAATACTTGATTGGCCAGAGGATAGCAGCCTGTATTTAGAGTCAATAACGCGTCACATGATCACACATATTGAGTTGCTTGGATCTAATAAACCACTTTATGTATGTATATTTCTGATCATGTATGACAAAACGTTATCAATGTTATTACAAACAGCGTGATCTATAATTAAGATTATATGTTACATTTTAGTGGAAGGAACTAGATGTTAAAAAAATATTTATACAGATGCCAGACAGATTTCATAAAGGACAACCAGCCTGGACGTTGAAAATAACATAGTTCTTATGTTTTATAAAAAACAGTGTTTTGCGTATATTTTCAAAGAATTAGTATGAAAACTACAAAAAGATACTTTTATTACCTGTTCCCCTTAAAATGACAATTTTACGATTTAATGTTATACAGTATTTCCCTATAAGATCGCACTTTGTTGCTCCCCATATCATCGTATTAACATCTCTACCATCTCATGACATGACCAGCTACAAAGACTAAAACTGAAAGCGTCAAAAAATAAAGTGATCACAAAATCGTCTCAACTGCTTTAAAGGATCTTGTCTTTGTTACCGAGTAGTGCAATCTTATGGAGGGAATACTGTATAGTACACAAATTGCTTGTTTATAATACTCCAGTATAAAGTATGGTTTTAATAATGCCTTCATATCTGTATGCATTTTTATTGAAGTTGAGATACTTCATACAAATAAGCTCCAAGTAATTTAGTCTAAAATGAAAGTTAATAATTATTAAGTTTGAATAAAACATTTATGAGAAAGAAATTATGTTCTCCATACAAAAATACTTACACCCTGGATGTAATTGCGGACATCTAATTTTTCATTCTGAGAATGTGCTCCATCATCACCAGCACCAACTGGTAAGAGCAGTACATTTTTACCTGTTACTTCTTGGAATGTCAAAGTAACTGGAATTGAACCACCCTCACGTGACAAGTCAGGATCTACTTTATAAACATGTTTTGTAGCCTTCCGGCCAGCTATATAGTGTGGATGATCAGGATTTTCAGACCAGGGTTTTCCTCCATGGTCCATATTAATGTTTATTCTATTTGGACTACCTCTAACAGCCCACTTTTCATTTAAATACGTTGTTACTTTCTTAACGGTTTCATCAGGGGTCATATCCGGCACTAATCTAATTGAAAATTTACCAATAACTTTTCCTGGAATAACAGTCTTTGCCCCTGGTTCGCTAAATGCACCCTCTATTCCATGAATAGATAAACTAGGTTGTCTCCAACGATGCATCAAAAGCTGAATCTAATAATACGACCAGGCATATGAATACATAAATGTAACAAACATCTAATTCTGGTTCATTGAATAATAAATACATACTTTATCTTCATCGTGAGCCAATCTATTGGTGCCAACAGATTTCTTATATTCAGGGACATCAAACTCTATTGTTTTATAAAGATCTAATTCTTTTTCTGTAACTTCGGCAACATTCTCATATATTCCATTTATTAAAATTTTTCCATTAACATCAACTAATGTATTTAACAGATACATCAGGTCTGCCATTGCTTCATGCACAGTTCCACCATATATACCACTATGTAAATCTTTTGCAGCACAAGTTACTTCTATATGAAAGTAACAGATACCCCTCAAACCATATGTAATACAGGGCTTAGTAGTACCCAACCAATAATTATCAGATATACAAACATAATCTACACCTTGCAAAAATGTATCTTTGCGTGCCCAAAGAAGATCGTCCAAACCTTCACTTCCACTCTCTTCCATACCCTCAAATACAAACTATAATCAAAGCAGACTTAGTAAATAGAAGGTGAAAAAGTATTACAAATTTTATAGCAATTTATATTACCTTAAGATTGACTGGGAAACCAATTCCAATAGCTTTGTAAGCCTGCAATGCATGTATCCAACAGAGTACAGGGCCTTTGTCATCTGAAGAACCACGGCCATATAATTTTTCATCTTTCTCAACAAGAGTAAAGGGTTCTGTATTCCAGCCATCTTCTTTCAATGCTGGTTGAACATCTAAATGTCCGTATAATAGAACAGTCTTCTTTTTTGGGTCAGATCCAAGGGTTCCTAATAAAACAGGTGGTAATGGAATTTCACGTCCATCTGGAAAAGTTTGTTTTCCTATATCTGCTAATTCTGTGGTAGCACCAAGATCTTTTAATCTAATTTCTGCCCACTTCATCATCTTAACTATTTCATTTCTATGATCTGGCCATGCTGAAACGGATTTTATAGCCACTGCTTCACGTAAATTATTTATGTACTCTGCTTTATGACTGTCAATGTAACTGTAAATTAAATAAAAATAACTTTCATAAGTAAACAGTTATTTCATTACAATTGCATTATGCTTAATAGAAATTTCTATTATACATACAATACAATAAGATAATATCTTTTAAATACCTAAACAGATTGTTTAAAGTTGTTGGAAGTTCTGTGGCCATTTCTTTGATTTATTGGGTGGAGTCAACTTCCTTAATGGGTATTGTTTCACTTGCAATGTAATCAGCAGATTGGGAATTTATTCTGTAAATGCGTGAATAAATACGATATGTTATCAATTCAGGGGCGTATATTTCCAAGTACTTGAAATACGCTTGATACGTAATTTGACTTTGATAAGAAACCTGTTTTAAGCCCAACAAACTTGCATTCACAAGAGAATAAAAAACTACTGTTCATTTACGCTAATAAGTGTAAACCCCCGTCAAAACAAACCTCATGACTTTTGCAGGAATGTATTTAGCACAGGTAGTACATTATAGGACTCCGTACAACGCGGCAGTATTCCTATAAACGCGAACTAAACATTGCGCTACTGCTCCCGTACAAACGTAATTATATATAAGTTATTCTGTATATTTAATGAACAAATTTATATTTCTATTGTTTTAAACTAAAATTAAATACATATTATTTTTTATTGTATTAGAAAAAACTTTTTTATATTTAATTCTTTGAGCTTTGGATCCCGTATAACATGGAACGTATCTTCCACGTTATAGGGGGGTGCAATCAGGTGCAATGCTACAATATTCATTAACAAAAATGAATCCACTTTGTATCCAAAATCGATCTATTGCCCAGATAGCACATGATGCCCAATGACGCCTTGAAGACGGCTTAAAGGCGCCTTAGAGCTAAAATAGCCGTAAAATGGGCGTCTTTAAGGAGTCATGTGCTACTTGGTTGGGTATAACGAAAATGTTACAGGTCCCTGAAACGGGACACTCGTGAGGTGATTTGGAACAAATTTTTCCTTAGCAAAAATGTTATCTGAGACTTTGTTACGAGATATTAATGAAAAATCTTTACCAATCAAATAGCGAGTGTATCTGCCGAGCCGCGCAGTAGCGTTGTATACGCTACGATTGGCATTCGTAGTCTTTTTATATCTCATTATATCTGTAGGCACTGGTTATACAAACTATATAATATGTGTCGCATTGTTTTCAGTTGTTTGCAGTGTCAGAGAAAGTGAATTACACAGATGTATTTTGAGAGAACAAAAAAACTAAACGTGTATTCCAAAATACGTAGCTAATAATTGTGACAACCAACTATTGCCAACATATATGTCGAAATTCATTTTAGTTTATTTTCGATATAACATGGGACATCGTAAACAATAAATTGTACGAAATAACGTATACTGTCATATTATTGTTCTTTCATTCTCGATCTTGCACAAGTTTGAGAAATGTCCCGTCATCGAGACGTACGGTGTATGAATTACTCGGAAGGTATGCTCAACACGAATCTTTATAAAAAAAATTCACTGTCTAATTGCAACTCTGCAATTCGTCATATTTGTTCCTTGTCTGAAATTACATATATATTTTTTTACAGAGTATGAAGGTTATGATGATGTCTATGGACATTCTATGGAGGATGACTACTGTGTATCTCCTAGTGGTAGGTTTTGTTTAATATACAGGGTCTTTTAATTTTCAGACAGTATCAGTTTTTGAGATGTGGAATTTAAGATATGTGAAAAAATAGAATGTTTTTACACATTCTGTGGACTTGGATTTTAAAACATACTGTGTAATCGTAGTATATGAATGTATTAAGCATTACAACACTTTTATTTACAGCCGAACAATTTTTATTTGATCGGAGTAAACAACAGAATATTGCATCATTTATCACGGAACCAGATATAGTAGAAGACAATGAGGATGATGAAGAACCAACTACACCTTCTAATGGAGAAGATGAAGTGCTTACAGATTTAGAAAAAGCAAAGCTCATGTCTTGCATGGAAACTGTCAAAAATATTATAGGGGACACAATACCTGATTCTGAGATAAAGAAAAAAATTGTTCAATCAAATTTTGATGCAGAGGCAGCACTGGATTTAGTTTTAAAAGAATCTTCTCCAAAAAATGTTGTTCGTGAGTAAATGGTACACTTAATCCCCTTGCTTTAGTGGCTCAAATATTATATTACATAATTAAATTTTTAGAACCAGATACAATTAATAAGGATAACATGGAACATTACCCAGGTATGTTATACACTCATATTATCTAAAAACTAAATATATAAAAGAGAATTATAGAATCATGAACAGTTTGAAGACATAATAATAAATAGGAATATAGTTCCTAAAAGGTGCACTCTCCGATTTTTATGATATTTGGTAAAATTGTCTCGAATTCTCTCAAATGAATGTATGTAAAAGGTTTTTCACCACATGTGAAAATTAACTGACATAATACTAAAATAATAACTATATCTTTATATACTAAACACACAAAGTGCCATAGCATACAGAACAATCCACTCACCTTGCAGATGAAGTTGTGACATGTCTCATCGTACTGCAATAATTTTTTCTAAAACTGTCATCTTTATATACTAAACAGAGAATGTACCATACCACATAAACAACCACTCCCCTTGCAAAAAAATTATTGCAGTACCATGAGACCTTGTATGTCACACTGTGACATATCGGTTGTGATAATCAATAATTGCTGAATTATTTTAGCATTATCTCAGTTAATTTTCAGCTGTGCTACAAAACCATTTATATATGTTAATTTGGTAGTATTTGGGACGATTTTACTAAGTCTCATGAAAATTGGAGGATGAATCTTTTCAAAACTACAGCCTACAGTCTCATATCTTTATTTCCTGACCTATAATTTCTTTTATTTCATATGCTGCTGTTGAATCCATCGGTAAGGTAAGATGCTACATCTGTTAATCCACAATCTAGTTCATTTATTATACCTAAATTATCATTCCAAAAGCAGAACAATACTGAAAATAGCACTATGAATGCTTGCGTTATGGATAACTTATACAGTTTAAAGAATTTAACCCTCAATAATTCATCCCCAACATTTTCCTCTTTATCTGAATTAATGACAAATCATGCTCAATCAAAATCTAATACTACAAAGGAGTTTCAAACTAATTCAAATACTGTATCATTCAGTACTTTAGCAGATCTAACTTCACACCATTTACAAAAATCAAGTAACTCTAACAGTACAAATTCTAACGAAAAAGCATTTTCACCTAGTACAAATTTTGTGATACCAAAATTGTCAATTAAAAAAGAGAGCAATAACGATTTAAACAATGCGAGATTAAATTTTTCTGCTCTTAAAACAAATGCAGGCATAGTATCAGATGTAATGAACGACAAAGAAGAAGATTGTAGTATGGATTCACTTGAAAAAAGCATATTCAATGTGCTTGCTTTTTCAGAAAACTATAGCAATAATAAAAATAGTTCATATAACGTAAACACGAAAGAGGATTTATTATTAAATGCAAGTGGTACTCGGACGCCGTCACCAGATAATTGGTTGATTGATTTAACTTCTGCTTTGAAAGAAACTACGTCTTTGGGTTCAAACAATTATGTTATAAAGCCAAAAACGTTAGAAAATGTCAACAATATCATTCCTAATTCAAAGTTACATACTTTAAGTCATAATGTTGATATCTCATACGTTCTTCTGCCTACAACATTAAATTTAAGTTACTTGAATAATATTAAGCTTCCATATGCAAAAAAGCATGTCTCATTATTTGGTAGAACATTATGCAGAACGTGGAAAATGAGAAAACCATTTCTTAAATCTCAAGAGCAACAACACCATACTGTAAAACGATTTGATTTTTCAGTTCCATATACTCGTAATTAACAAAGTATTAATTTATTAGTATACACAGAAATTAAAGTAGGTACTTTGTCATGGTATAAAACAAAACATTTGAATGTTCGGCTACTGTTGCCAGCTACTTTGAGGGATGATTTCAGATGCCAAACTAACACATAGATCAAGAATAACAAAATTACGTTCAAGACTTCGTTTCCAGGGCAGGTTTAATGTCGTGCAAGAATACATGTTATATATGTTCCAGAAATTTATAGAATAAATTATTGTCGTATGACAAGGCGTCGTGTGTCATCACTTTGACTACGAGGTAGCGGATCTTTTTAGATGGCTGTGGCACTGATGATTAATTTGGCATGTAAAATCACTCCTTAAAGTTTCTGACTCTAGCAGCATTCTGTATCATTTTTATTGGGCGTATATAATTGTGTATTATATTCTTAGGACAAGTTTACAAAAACAAAAGTCATGACTAAATTAAGTTTATATGCGGATGTTAAATTACCTATTAATAAATGACTATTTTATGTAAATATATTTACTGTGAAACATTACTTTCATGTAAATATTTTTCTTAAAGTCATGAAGCAGAAGTTCATGAAATTTCTGCAATAAAGACATTAAATATTTACAAATGTGTAATTGCATACTAATATTTACACATATTATGTTGATAAATTTTATGATAGGTAAAAAATTACCGTCCAAACCCACATTTCAAGCAACAACACCTTCAAACGTGAAAATTATTCCTGTCGGAAAACGATCGGTAGTGAAGGGCTTTGATTTAAGTGGAACAGAGAATGCAGAACAACTGAATACTCGTATTGAAAGTCCTCGTTCTCAGAGCCCATTTGCTAGTTATAACAGTCCAGAAACGAAAAGAAAGGAACATGTACCAAGGGAGAAGAAAATAATTTCTTCAAATACAAACAGTCCGCGAAGTCAATCTCCAGTGATAGGACATGTAGGTTCTGACTTGGATTTTAAAGTAAAAACCAATGAAGAAAAAGTTGATGCTTTAAAGGTATATAAAAGTAAAAGAGGAGATAGCAAAGAACAGTTACATCTGGTAGTGGTCGGACATGTAGATGCAGGTAAAAGTACATTATTGGGACGACTTCTGTGCGACTTGGGACAAGTACCGCAAAGATTGATTCACAAGTATCAGCAAGAAAGCAAGAAGATAGGAAAACAATCATTTGCTTATGCATGGATTCTTGATGAAACAGGAGAAGAACGGTGATTAGAATTTCTAATACAATCAAATTACTAACATACTTTATAAGTTATGTTATATGTATACTTACTTATTATATATTTTTCTAGAGAACGAGGTATAACAATGGACATTGGTCACTCAAAATTTGAAACAGAAACAAAATCCATTACTTTATTAGATGCACCTGGACATAAGGATTTTATACCAAATATGATTACTGGTGCTACTCAAGCAGACGTGGCTTTATTGGTGGTGGATGCTACAAGAGGAGAATTTGAAACTGGTTTCGATAGTGGAGGACAAACCAGAGAACATGCATTACTGTTACGTTCATTAGGTATTATAATTTGTTCTTATATTTGCAGTCCACGTTTCTGTGACCAATGTATTTATGAACTATCGATTTTTTTGTAGGTATATCACAACTAGCAGTGGTAGTAAATAAGTTAGATACAGTAGACTGGTCGAAAGATAGGTTTAATGAAATAGTCGACAAAATCAATGTATTTTTAAAGCAGGCTGGATTCAAGGATAATGTTGCCTTTGTTCCTTGCAGCGGTCTATCTGGTGAAAATATTGTAACAAAATCTAAAGAAGCTTTATTTAACTGGTATAGCCGTTAGTTACAATTCCCTTGATACGTAAAGAATTAAAGTAATGTGTTAATTGATATTTCTTAATAATATAGGTACACAGGGCCTACACTAGTCAGTGTTATTGATAATTTCAAGTGTCCCGAACGCCCTATAAACAAGCCGTTTCGGTTTTCGGTTAATGATATATTTAAGGGTACAGGATCTGGATTCTGCGTTTCTGGTCATGTAGAAACAGGCATGATATCTTTAGGCGATAAAGTTTTAGTATTACCAGGGAACGAAGTCGCACTGGTTAAAGGTGTGTTGACTTATTAAATACTTACAAAATTTAGTTCACCCTAGATATTTGTCAGTTGTTTTAATACAAAATGTGAAATTACATTACAGGTTTACAAGTAGATGAGGTACCTATGACGAATGTATTTGCTGGAGATCAAGTTGCTTTAACCTTATCGGGAATCGAACAACAAAATGTTGGAATTGGAGATATTATTTGTAATGCACAGAACCCAGTTCCTGTAACTACCTGTTTTCAAGCGCATGTAGTTGTATTTGCAGTTAAAATCCCAATAGTCAAAGGTCTTCCAGTCGTTATGCATCAACAGTCTCTAGTGCAGCCAGCTGTGATTACAAAATTAGTAGCCCAACTGCATAGAGCTACTGGTGAAATAACAAAAAAGAAACCACGTTGCTTACCAAAAAATTCAAGCGCTATTATCGAGATTACGACGCAAAATCCGGTATGTATGGAAATATACAAAGACATCAAGCAGCTAGGTAGAGTGATGTTCCGAGTTGAAGGAACAACCATTGCAGCTGGACTTGTTACCAAAATTAAGCAGTAATAAAATAGTTTTGCATCTTCAAACATCTAGAACCATACATATATTGCAGTTATTGTAATCACATATTGTGGAAGTTATGCAAAATTTAATGGAATTATCATGTTTTTGTTAATTTATGTAAACATATGTGTACATACAAGTTTATTTGCTATAGAACACTTACTTCGTTTCCTAGCCAATGTACAATGTGTAACATATTTATAATTTGTAACATTTTTAACATAAAAATTATCTACTCTATTCAATAAAATTGTTCTTTAACAAATTATGGTTCACTTATTCAATGTATAAATTTATATGGGAAATAATGTTTTAATTTATTTGTTCTTGAACAATTCTGCGATTGATATCAATATTTGAAAATGTTGATAAATATAGTTTCCACATAATTATTTCAACCAGCACAACTGCTGCATCCACCAAAGGGAATGTTCATATTATCTCCTGTATTCGGTCTTCCTAATCTACGTGTTGGTGGACGTGGTGGCCTGTATACATACATAAGTTATCAATATCAATTTTATTTTAAAAATATTATACAAAAAATAGAAGTCCATTATTAAAGTCATTTAAATTATCTCTATTAGTAGTTCTATAATTAAATTACTAAATCTCTTACCCAGATCCAGGTCTATAATCTCTTGTATAACCACTTCCATATTTGTTCATATCAGGATTGATCATTGTTTTGAAACTGTAATAAATTAAATTATTTCATGTTGTATATATGTATACTTAAAGGGAACATAAGAAGAGATATACTTTACTTACAACATAATAATCATGTAAATTATGCCAGTAAAAATACCAAATATTCTTTTCAAATTCCATGGAGTACTGTCTAAAACTTCACCTGAAAGTTTTTCAACAGTAAATATACGCAGTAAGTGTTATACATAGCTTCCATTACGTGTTACTATAAAATGTATACATTGAGGTTAAATATGTTACCTCCTGATATATAAGCCATGATTTAAGATGTTTCTGTAGACTAATTTTTCCAGTAGGCAGCTCCGATTAATAGAACGGAAAATATATATCACTTATGATTTAATAAATAATGTTGTTCTGCTGAATATTGCAAGCGTCTTCTTAGAATTTTTTAACATCCACGTCACGCAAACGTGAATGTGTGTAAGCTGGTTAAGCGCAATATCACAAAGTCGGCTGTGGCAATACATATGCATTTATGTAGATACTCACATACACATATAAAGATCTGTGATTCAAACAGTGTTGACAACATAATCAGTAAGTTAGTACGGAGCTTCTGCACTCCAATTTCCGTGAGTAAATAATACACATTTAGATGAATGTTTATATACAATAGTTTAAAACTCAATATATTAAAATGATCAATATATAAAGTTTAATAATGAGATTTTGTTTTATTGCAAACCCCATAAAATAATTACAAAACCCTTTAATAAAATCAATAATTAAATTACTGTTTGATGGAAATAAATTTTTGTGAATTGAACGCAATAACTTTGTTTATTAATAATTTACGATGCAAATTAAATTTTTGACTCGCACATTAGACGAAACGAAGATAAAAAAAATAATACGGTGCCTCGTGAAGTTATACGGGAAAAGTTCATAGTACTTAAAGTATTAAGCAACGGTACAAGTTGCCATTATGGTTGCGAAAGCAGAGTGCTTGACGCCATAAGATCAAACACGTTCAATTGCTTTTCAATAATATGCGCGACTCTTCGAGTTCGTCCATTCATGGTCAATGTTCTTATGTATGCAAATATGTACCATCGGGGACAAGCGTACTTGATCGTCTATAGACGATACAAGAATACTCCCCAAAATCAAACGCCATCGTAAATTACCATAGGCAAACTTTTCATCTTACTCTCAGCCTTGGCCCACTTCGATCGAAACAGCAACATTAATTATTTATGATATATTTTCTAATAAGCTTACAATATTTTCTGTATTTTCAGTTTTATGTACAAGAAACTTTAAAAAAGAACCTCTAACCACACGTTTGTGCTATAAAACATTTATAATTTTAAATTAATTACAAATTATCTAGAATAATTAAATACTGATCATAATTTTCGTGTTCGTTCTCCAGTTGTTTAAGTAATTAAAGCATAATCATTATGCAATAAATACTAGAAAGGAAAAACAATTAATTTGCGATAAATGGTTCTTATATTACAGAATGTTCATCCGATTACCTATTAAGCGAGGAACTATCAAGGGATATTTTTTCAAATCAGAATGTTCACTGATCGAAAAAATAAAGTGAAAATTTTCAACTGCGATTTACTTAGAAAATGATTAAATAATTTACAGTCCACTAGTCATCCTTTTCGAAATAGCGAACAAGGTACTACGAACGTGTCTGACCAGGAAGTATTGAATTAATTAACTACATAGGTTTTTTGATTTCTGATCACGCGCCACAACTTTAACCCAAAGTCCACCTTGCGCTCTGATCGTCATTCGAAATTTCGGTCGCACTTCCTCCTTCCCGGGAACCGATTGTAACTGGCACTTTCGAAGGATAGCACTGATCATGGATTTCATTTCCAACATCGCGAACTTGTATCCTGAAAACCATTCAAGAAATAGCAAATTAGAGTAATTTCATAACTTAAAAGTTTTGAAAATTTCATAACATAGCATTTAAAGTACAAACATGAATAGAATTTAATATAATCGTATTCTATTGTATAATAGAACATTCAATTTCCATGCAGTTTCTTCTACAGGTATTTATAAAAATATAAATTTACAGCCTGTTAATAACACTTCTAATCTGTTTTACCATAAAAAAAAATCTTTAACGAGTAACACGAATGACTATTTTATTCTCAATTATGTAAATTAATCTCTGAAGTCGTAATTTGCATAAGCATCCGCCAGCCTATTAGTAATATTTTGTATTTTATTTTAAATTTAATATAATGAAACTTCGAACATAATTTCTTGTGTAACCGTACGTTCTTTGAATTAAACCCTCATGGCGTAAATTTGCATTAAAAATTGCTAACGTAACTATAACGAACGCTTTGCAATAATAATTTAGCAATGGAATCATTTTTAAATAATTTTACCAATGCAATTTCTAGGTCCAGCGCTGAAAGGCAAGTAAGAATAAGGATGTCTCTTCTCGGAGTTCTCTGGGCTAAAGCGTTCAGGTTTGAATGCTTCAGGATCGGGAAAGTGGTGTGCCAAACGATGCGTACTGTAGGGTGACATGAAAATGCCGCAACCCGCTGGTATCACGTGTTTTCCTAAATTTATCCAATATCAATACATATTATACCGTATTACAAGTTACACTTAACAATAAATTATCCAAACAGTAGCCATCTCATCGATCAATGTTTCAAACAGGCTATCTAAGTGTCGGTATGGAGTTAAGCAAGAACTTATGAGATGACAACACCTACTTCAGTACTTAATGTTGAAGTACATAATGCTCTACTACCTGCTGCTTTAATACCTAATACTTCAGTACTCAACGCTTTAGTACCTAATGCTTCAGTGCCTAATGCTTTAGTACCTAATGCTTTAATACCTAATGCTTCAGTGCCTAGCGATTCGGTGCCTAGTGCTTTAGTACCGAATCCATTAGCGCCTAATGCTTTAGTACCTAATGGTTTAGCGATTAATGTTTTAAATATTCTATACGCACCTATTTTCACATCTTCACCAAGTATCCTCGCAATAATCGGTACACTCGGGTACAATCTGAGGGATTCTTTGATGCACATTTCCAAGCATCTCATGTCCTTCAGGTCTTTCATCGTGGGCTGCCTCGACGAGTCCCCGTCGAAGATTCGGTCCATCTCCTCGATACACCTCTCCTGCCATTCCGGATGATTAGCTAAAAGGAACAACGTCATGGCGGTCGCGGTGCCGACCGAGTCCTGGCCAGCCAGCATGAACGTGCAACACTCCTCGACGATGTCCTCGTCGGTGAAGCAAGGATTTTTCTCGTTCATCTCCACCATATACTCGAGCAACGACATTCTTTCAGATATCCTCGTCCCGTCGTTAACGGAATCGTCCTTATTTCGCAACTGTTCCCGTTTGTCCTTCATCATTTTGAAACATGTGTCAAAAAGGTCCTTTCGCTGTTTCTCCTCCTGTTTCCCGTGCTTGGTCAATCGATAGATCCATTCGATTAATAACCAAGGTCTCACCAATCGATAGAGAAGCATGATCTGTCCCCTGCGAGAGAAAATTCAAGTCGTTTATGCGCGACCGTGTTCGACGTATGTCGCTTGGTTTTCTAATTATCGTACAACGTTATATTGTCGATCGAGAACCGCAGAGAACAGATTTCAATTCTTACTTTCTGAAGGGGAGATCATCATCCGCGGCTATGTCGCGCGTGTATCGACTCCCTCGATTTATTCCCAAAACCGTCTCTGCGAACAATTGCACATTATTGGGTTATTCATTTTATTAGACAAAGTAAGATTAAATCGACTCCATATATGTACGTTTTTCTTTGACATACAAGTGTTATTTTCATTACACACATATGCAATTAGGGTAATCGCACCAATGAATGAACACTTAAGAGATTTTTTAAAGATTAAAGTGAAATTTGAATTGATACATAATATTACGTATACATTTTTATAACGTATAGTAAACGTGGAATGAATGGCTGTATTTAACCGAGGTTAATTCCCTACTTTAATTAACTTCAGAACTTCAGTGTTTAACACAATTGCTTTCATTGTTATGTTAGACAGTACCTTGAAACGAGTATAGTACACCGTGTAATTTTCCTATTTTAATAATATTTATTCATAAAGATAATGTTAAATATAGTATATCTATCGATAAACTCGCTAATTTCATGTGCAACGACGTTGAAATAATAATTTAGAGAAGATAACAGCGCCCAATGAATATTTATCGCGTTCGAATTTTTTCCCTTTGTTATTAAGTAAATTTTAATGTCAGGTTTTATGTAGGTGTGAAGTAACTTAATCTTCAATTGGGTGTCAATTAAAGCATTCAATATATGTAAATATATTTATTGCCGCGACGATTCAACAGAAGTTACACTACGTTTGATTTTGATTCATATGCTAATCGATATTGAAAGCGACGTCTTTGGAATCCGATGGAACAGTTAGCGTGTACGTCGGATGCCCGTGATGTAGATCTCAGAATGGTGCCAAGTGGTGATTTGTCATGTGTCTTTAATAACACAATGGCCCGTGTGTTATTGACATGGTAACGAAACCGCATAATTAGTACACCGTCCGCTCGTACACACGCATGTAAAACTAGATATTTTGGCATTTCGACTTTTGAACGCGTGCATAAACGAGCAGCGTAGTTTGCGTAATTTGCGAAACACACGTACACTGTTGGCGAAAAATTTCCGACCACCAATCTCCTAATACATCTAGCATAATACATCAATATGATAAAATCTGTAGCAAATGAAAGAACAACGTAAATTCCGTCAAAAGCACCATTATAATTTCAGTAATGGTAAAATAGTAAATCTGTAATTCGTCATTTGGACGAGTTTGGTAGTGTTAGTGTTAACACACGGCAATGTTCCAAGTTTTATTTACTTACTTTCATTTTCATAGTAATTTAAACAAATTAAATCTTAATTAGAGTAGTTACATAAAGGTGGCTGTTCCATTTCGGAGTAGATACGATAATTAGCTTTATCGAAGGCCACTATTAAATGTTCGGGACCAGTACAGATAGGAAATTGTTAGAATAACAATATTCACTGTATGTGACACGAATTGTTTGAAAATCTAGAATAAAGTCTCTAACAATTCACACTACCCTTACAATTGTTATGTTTAATAAATGCACACAGTAAAATTTATTGTTTTTTTTTAAAAGAATTTTTAAAAGAATTTTTAAAAGAATTTTCTGACAAAGTTATTTGAATTTTTTTAAACCAGTATTCCACTGAAAATATAAAGTGATTGAATTTTTTTAAACCAGTATTCCACTTGAAATATAAAGTTATTTGAATTTTTTTAAACCAGTATTCCACTTGAAATATAAATCCGTTGTAATTCTGCTCCTTATTTTTATAAATTCACTTGTTTGTTACAAGCATCGAAGCGGTCGAAAATATTTCGCCGGCAGTGTATACGGGAAAAAATCTGTTTTTAAATGGCATCTGATTCACGTCGGATTGTACAAGTTTTCGGATTGAATTGAAGTTGAATGCAAATTTCTTCGCGATAAATTCTTTAATACGCGGTAACCCTGACGCGCCGGTACCACGTGATTCGTTAAAACGTGATGAAACGTCTGGGCAAACTGTCCGCGATAATTCAACGGTTTCGATCGTGGAATTGCAAAAGGTTTGGATATGCTACGTCGAAGAAAATGTTGACACTCTTGCTCATACACTGAGTGCATTTACATGGAACTCCGCAAATCAAACGAGGCTCGGATGATACTAGAAAAGCAACACCATTCCTTGATTCGCCTCCTAATGCATAATTAATTCGCAAATAATCAGGAAAAAAAGCGGAGAAAAGAGAACACATGCGATTTATAGGATGTCCACAGCTATCCATAATCCTTTTCTTTTTATTCCGGCGAGTCCAATCACTTTCGGGAGATTCATCGATGACTATGGCTGCTTATGCAAATATAGAATTTTATGAATTAATTTTACTGAAATTCGACCCAAAGGAAAATTTATTTACCCTGTTAACGGCACTAATAGTTTCGAAAGAAAAAGGAAACCTGTCAAACTTTCTGAAACTGTTCACTGTACCGAATTTTAAACGATTGTTCTATAAATGCTTAAAATCCACAATCTAGTGATTAATTATGATAAACTTGTCATTAAAATTTAACCCTGTGTAGTTGTATATCTACGCTCAACTATCAGATCTTACATAATTTGCGTACATTCAATGAAACATGTACCAATAAGTAATCCACCATAGTAAATTAAGTTATTAAAATGAGCAAATGATTTAATATTAATTTGTTTTAATTTCTTGTTTCTTATTCAAACAATTCACTTAATATTGTTCATGGTGAAATCTGTATTTTTTCTTTTCAATTTAATAATGATCGTTTTCCAATTTTTCCAAATATCTATTAATATTATTCCCATTTAAAATTCGACTTTAATAATTACGAAATCTCTTAAGTGTTCATTGGTGTTAACCCTATTTTGTCAAATACGCCAGCAAACGGTTAAATCACCAAACATCTTCACAAACGACGAGAAATAGACAATCATACCTGGACATTACTTTACATTCATTTTGAGGATAAGTTCTACTTACCGCTTAAAATATCGTAAACGGAATCGTTTATGAACGAGGTGATATTGATCTCCTGGTTGTCCTTATCAACGAATTCGTTCATCAGATTATTCGCGCACTCGGCGAATGTATTGGTGAACCTCTCGAGGATGTGAAGATGGAACGCCGGCTGCAGAAACTTCCGGTGCGTTCGCCAGGTCTCCACGTCCCTCGTGATTAATCCTTTCCCGAGGAAATTGTCGAGCAACTTGTAGAAAAATATTTTCCGCGTGTGCTTCATACTGCTGAGGATCACTTGGATGTCCTCTGGCTCCAACACCATCACGTACGGCAGCCCCGTCAACCATATCCTGATGACGCGGCCATATGTTTGATTCTCGTTTGCCAGTCTGTGAAGTACTGGAACAGTATTCAAAATTTTCTTAACACCAGAACTACCAGTGTTCAATGGTAATAATTGCAAAAGTAAATAATTTTTTAACTAGAAAAATTTGTTGCAAAGATATGGTAAATTTCAAAACGAACAGACGAAACAATGCTGCGCTGGTGCAAATTCGCACTAGTGTGGTGTCTATAATATAAATGTTATTCGAGAAATTTTGCAGAAACTGTTTTCATGTACAATATTATTCGTCACTTACGATTATCGTTGAGAACACATCTCGCGTTCCCCAAGATCGGAACTGTTTTCGGACCATTAAGTCGCGAAACGAATAACACGCTTCTGATGTAGCTCTTCAGAATGTAGAGAATGTAAATACTCGCTATAACGACGAGGTAAACCCACACCCCACCTGGCGTTTGGTCCCACTGATGGAATAAAAATAATTTCTGTTAGTGCACCGTTATTGTGGAATAATTCAAATTTCATTCTGAACGACAATTCACTATGTTAAATTGACATCGACACATTATATAATGATAACATTGTTTATTGTTCCCACATAAACCATGTCGATTATATCAACTGCAAAAAATCCATCGAAACTTTTGGACTGACCCAATATTTTCAACATGAAAATGGTATATGTTTTATAAAATTATATTGTATTATATTTTATGAAGGTTTCGTATAATAATTTCAGAGTTCAATGAGATTATAAATCTTATAATCAACCGATCGGGTAGAAACAGGAGGATAATAAAATGAGTTAATCATAAATATGTAGATTGCTGGTTTCATGCATTTAAGAAATGAAACGAGAACTTTATTAGTAGTAGCTAGTATTAACAAAATTTGTATCATATTGTCAACTTAAGTAATCCACAAAAATGGAAATTTATATAAATATCCGAGGTTTAATAAATAAACAATGAATAGTGATCCATAATATTATTACATATAATATTCTAATTTAAATTCAAAAATTTAATTTGTAAAGATGTCGGTAAGGGTCTTTCTCAATATAAATTAAACGATGATTGTAAATAACAGTTAACTATGAATAATTACAAACACTTGCTATGTTCCACGAAACATTTTAATAATTGCTGTAAAAAATTCCGAACACAAGCTAATTTTATGTACTTTGTAATTCAAAATTGACTCCGGTAGTTTTCGAAGAAGAAGCACCGGTGCATTAATCTTTTTCAAACTGCTTCATTCAAAACGTCACTGTTGACACTTTCATTACCAAGCTTCCGTTAATTGTTTTTCTTTGCTTTCCGACTTCACGTTAAGCTCCTTAACTTTTTGTCTCTTTTTGTACAAAAAGAGAAGCCACTTGTTAGCACGAATGATCAATTCTTTGGAAACCTGTACACACGTTTACTCTGTTATTATTAAACCATCATCTCCGACAGAAAAGTTCGTTTCACGATTGTTAGCGTGTCTGGACATCGTGTGCTCAAAATATTCTTAAAATATAACTCTTATTAAGCTACGAATAAACTGAAAATAAACATTACCTAAATATATATGTATATGTACATACAGTTTCTCAGTCACATTGTTTCACGTTTAAATTAACATATCTGTTACAGCATAATATTACCATTCTTCGAAAACAAGCCTATTTAAGAATGACACCCCGTTCGTGCGATTTAATTAACAATTTTAAAGCACTCGAAATAAAACTCGATTCACTTGTCTAGTACAGTCCGTGAGGGACATTCATTGACTATTCCAGCTGGATTTCTTATTAATTGGTTTGTCGAAACGTGCTATCCGAACGCTTAAATGCCAATCGAATAATAATGCTTCACACCAGAGAACAAGGTTCGTTGGCCAAAAATGACTTTCGATGTTAATAATAACGAACCAAAGCTATTAAATCCGTCACAAAGCTCGATAACAGACATTTTTCTTTCATAATAATACGCACTTTACGTTAGAACCACGCACAAAGTTTAATCGTGTACCGCTGTATTTACATTTGTATTATGTCTATCAATGTACACAAACGTGAATGATTCTCCGTCACTTACTATTTGTTGCACTGTCAGAACCATAGCGATCGAATCGTTCGACGATAATTCCTTTGCAACTCCACAACCGAAATCGTTTTTGAGCAAAAATCTTTAGAGCTGCACCATGGGCACTCTGGCGTGTCCATAAAGTTTTCAGCCTATTTAAGCGTTTGCTCCCACCAGATACACTTGTGTGGACCACTCAAGATTTGTTCGAAGTCCATGAAGTACTTAGAATACGTCACACCTCTGCATCGTGAGTGTCACGTAAACTTTTTTTACATTTTTCACATTGACGACTCGTGTGCATGTTTTATCGTTCATCGACGGTGCCGACCATATTATTAACATGCTAATTGTTCATATTTTTCGGCCGTTAAATGCAAGTCGAAAAGTCGGACGATGGACGCAATATATCAGAGAAACGAAAAAACGTCCAAAAACGTTGGTGCAAAAAAACAATCTTAAAATTCGCGAGAAAACAAATGTTGCACGTTCAAAACGGGGTGTTTAAAAAGACGTATTATTGTTTGTTGACATTATGAACTTAAAAAAAAAAAAAATGTGCCATTTTGAACATTTGTAATGCACTTTGATTAATTTTTTTAAATACCGCGTACGTTAAGAAGTTTCTCTTTACATAAAGATGGAACAACCGTCGTCGCTGATGCAACGCTTTGTTTTCGTGCTTGCGCCTTACAAAAGGCGTAGGTCTGTTTGCAATGTTTTAACAAACACTAGGATTAGAGCGTGCGTCAAAACTGAATTCCGTATGTCCTGGTGATTTTGTTTCGTGCGTATTTTGGTCGTCGCTATATGTATTTTCAACATTTCGTACGTTGATTCATAACCGGCCTTATAAACAAGTCCGGTTTTTTTCCCCCAAATTCGATTTAATTTCGATATCGATGAACATTTGTCGTTTCACTAAAAATGCGCCCATTGTTAGGATCGTTTTTTTCTATCTGTGTATTCTGAAAAAAAATCGGTTTGGGCTACAGTATGAAAAAATCAACATTCGCACTGCAGAGCTAAATTCATCCGACGTAATTTATGGCTCCACTGGACATTACAGCTGCTACTATCTGCTTTTTTCTTCACTAGTGTGCATTCTGAATACCTGCTTGGTCCAGTGTTAAGGGCAGGCCCGCATTAAGATTTTTTCTGGCCCAGGGCTATCAAACATTCGAGGGCCCCTTTGGTTGAAAAGCTGGGAGGGAGAGGGATGTTTGTAATAAAACATACAATAAAATGAATAAATCTTCAAAAAATTGAAATTTATTCTAAGTAAACTTTGATTTGATTTATTTTTACATTTAGTGGAATTTCTAATTACAGTAGAGCCTCCCATATCCGCACCCCCATTATCCGAATACTTTAATATCGAATAGTTTACATACAATCTTATATACACTTTACCGTATCCGGTCAAACGAATTCTGTAGTATAACAATTTAGTATGTAGCTAACAGCGTGCGATATTACAATGGCAACTGAACGAAAAACTTATGCGATTTAGTAGCTAAAAAGCTATGGGATCCTTAAATATCGAAACAAAGTTCAATTTTCTTGATTTCCACTTGAATGAATAAAGTTCAATATAAAAGGAAGTGATTGTTCTATCATCCGAAAATTCCCTTATCCATCCACGTTTGTTTCCCTATCAATACGGATACGGGAGGCTGTACTGTATTTCAAAAGGAAAACAGTAAACAAAGTTTTATTCAATTATTTTTCACACAAACGGAAAGCTGACATCGGGCACCTCCCTGGAAAGCGGGGCCCTGGCTTGCAGCCCCCTAGCAACCCCTTCCCTCTTTTAATCCGACGCTGGTGAAGGTTTGTTTTTATTTTTTTTTTTTTTTTTTTTTTTTTTTTTTTTTTTTTTGTAAAGCAAATCTCGCCTCACCTTTAGGAACACCATAGGAATACCATAGCCCTCCGGTGACACGGTTAAGCGCAACGAAAACACCTTTGCCACTCGCGATTAGAACGAACGGTCAACTAAACCCTCTACGGCGAGTCATTGTCGTTTATATAGGTGTAACGAGGCACGAGAGGTGTTTCACGACGGCCCATTAACACGCAGTTCACAATCAAATCACGTACCGACGATACGTGCAGGCGTGCTTTATAAAATATCGTTCCCCGACTCAGCTTCTGGGAGGTGATCACCAAAGATGATGCTTCGGTCGCATCCTTCCTGTCAGGGTCGGCGCAGGAGAAAAGAACATCGTAAACCTTGCCGGGTGAATAACTTATCGGATGTTCACATCGTTACTAATTACTACAGGGCTTTTCAACACGGACTTTGTTTTTAAATTTTACATAAGACACACATTTTGGATGAACGATCTGTATTTCTTTATTGATACATCGCGTAGAATGTCTGAAATTTATGAATCAAAAAGAATATCGGACAGATGTTCGCCACGACCATGTTTACAGACGCCGATCCTTTTGTCCAAATTTTCGATTACATTTTTACATAATTGCGGCTCTAACTCACCACGCCTCGGATGTTGGTTTTCAAGGCTTCAATGTAGCGTGGATTATCTGCATAGACTTGATCTTTCACGTAGCCTCTTAAGAAATAGACTAACGGCGGTAAATCACATAATCTAGGCGGTCAATTGACTGCAGAATTACGCGAAATTATTCGATCGGGAAATTTCGTTCGTAATAAATTTATTGTTTCAGTCCTGTTGAAACCACATAGTGGACTTTAATTATTTTTCTGCCTTGTCCGATTGAAATTGAAGACATTATAATAAATTGTGGACCTTGTACTTGACATATGTCAAAAAACAGAATGACAAAACTGTCACCACATTCAAAATTGCCCCTATTAAAAAACAAAGTTCCTGTTGAAAAGCCTTCTATTAGGTGTAGCAATTTCACTGTTTCATTTCGATAGACGAGTAAAATACTTTAATTTGGAAATATGTTCTAATTCTTCTGTTTGGTAAACATGACGGTGAGTGGTGGAGAACCGGGACAAATATCACGGAAAATGCGCAAGCCTTAATTAGACACGACTCGTTTCAAATACGAACAATCCGACAAACTTCACAACAGTTTTAATAAGGAACTGAATGATATTTTTCGTTATTGTTATGGAAATAGCCTGTTTACTTCACTGTCAATTGAAGGTACTCGAACACTGGAGCTACCAAAATTGTCCACTAGATTACGATAGTGAAATAAAATGTCTGAGTCGTCTGTAGTTAACGGTTAATTTCCTAGAAAATGTACCTACTGAATTTAACAAAATATAGGGGATTACTTATTGGTACTCTTAATAATTACTGCAAATTTCGACCAGCAGGTTTATTTCGAAAGGTTGGACAAAAAAAGGGAATTGTGGTTGAAAACTTGCTTTGTCATTAGAAGCTTTTGAAAATATAGAATGGTTTCTGTATTCCATGCTTAGCATACCGCATACGTTTTACATATTTTACGGGAATCTTGCACGGCTATTGGTTAATTTCATGCTTGAAGAAGAATTTTTCTTGCACTGCGGTTGTGAAGTTAACTTGCATTAACTCACGTCTGCTAATAAACGTTTCCCGTGTCTTTATCGAGAAGTTGTTGCTGATAGTGATTACATATAAACCAGGGAAATCATGTGACGTGTTACTATGTTTTTCTACCTATATTATTGAATCCACGCGTAAATTTTGGATTTTCTCACGAACTCCAGGAAAAACAAATGCATGCGTCAATAAACTTAACAGACACGTCGTAGGAAGTAGCAGATACATCGTATCTATTTTATAAACCTAATTTATAGGAGTCAGGTTTATACGGAGTTTTATGAACCCGATTTCACATACATCTTGTATCCTATTTACATAAAAAATAGAACAAACGAGTTTCTTTCTCGCGGTGAAAAACCGTGGAATCAAAAATGTGAGGACTATAATTTCTTGTTCATTCCATACACCTTTCCTTCTTTTTCCAATTCTTTGTCGTATGCCAATCCAACGTCGAATGCAGTTGTGTGGGTTACACAGAATATCCGGTAGACTCCGATTTTACGATCTATCATGGACACGAGCCAACTAATTTGCAATTTACGTTTGTTGCGCTTATTTGCTTGCGTGCGACTACAAGTTTTTGTTTGAACGTGAAATCGCTGAGAATCAAAGTGCCCATAAAATTCCAACTACTACGCAAGTTTTTTCAAGTTCTCATTTTTATGTCGAATTACGCTTATAAAGTGAACATTTTACAGTTTGCATTCTTTCAATTCAAATATTGTGCATTTCTTGTATTAATTTTGAGTATTTGCTCAGCAGTTTACGAAGTCCGCCCTGGAAGAATGAAAAAAGTAGAAATAACAAGTGGAACCGCGGGATAGAAATAACTTTCCTTAAAGTTTAATCATTCTTTCAATTCGACTCGTTCAGATAGTCTTTTATTTGAGTTATTATTTTACAAGAACCCATTAGTAGAAGTCCGAAAGAAAACATTAAATACCATTCATTTAAATATCACCTTATCACTAATTGAGTTATGATCTGTTTCTTTATATGCAATATTTTTGTTACAATATACTTGTGGTACTCGATAAGGTTAGGTGTAATAACAAGATACTGTTACGTATTCTTCTATAATTTTCATTTTCTATCTTTTTTCTGTATTCAATGCAGCTGTACCAAGTGTAATATAGACGAATCATTATTTTTATAAGTACAAATAGTAAACTGAATGAAACTGATTTGCTGTAACGGCATCAAGCACGACGTAAAAGTTTTATAGGCGTGTATGAAATCAGACAAGGAAGCTTAAACCGTTAAGTAAATATCACTAGCACCGGTCAACATTCAGTTAAAATAGTTCAATGATCCATGAAGTGTCCAATGATGTTTAGTGCAAAGCATAAAATGGTTCCCTTTACCTCTTGTCATTATAGAATTAGAACTAAAACACAAGTAATTAAAATAAATCAAAATAAAACATAATTAATTTAAAAAAGCAAAATAAGATAAATTAATTACAATTAGCTAATAAAGATAGACGTTGCAAATCACTTCGTCGAGTTTGAATAAGGGAGATAGCCTCGTAAACACCCTGGCCTACAAAAAAAAAAAATCGGAGCTGTCAGTCGAGTTCGGATAGTAGAGAGGACCCCTTAAGTCCCCTTGACCAGTGTCCACCAATGGTCAGCAATCGGAGATGAAGACGTGTGAAGACCACGAAGAGGTCCGCGGACGCAAGGGAAATGAGGATTCTCTGTTGCGCACCTGTATTTATTAGGCCGCGAGCTACGCAGACAGGTGCGCGAAAATCAAGCGCAGTGGAAATTCGAGCGCACCAAAAATTATTTCTCGATTAATTTATTATATCTAACAAAGTAATTGTTATAACAGTTACCTTTCTGAGGGATATTGTTAAACAATCTGCCAGCTGTTTTATAATACAAATTGTTATTGTGTATAACAAATACGAATCGAGATACACAGAAACTTGTAAGATATGAATTGATTAGTGAAATTTTACATGTAATTACTTTTACTTTATAGCAAACTATTAAATAACGATTATGTCTTAATGTTTATGGTGATTGTTAACTAAATATTATTTAATTTAAATGTATCTCGGTAGAGTTTTAGGCGGCAAATTCATAAAAATTTGTCGCAAATGAGAATTCCTTGATCGACGTTTGATTGTTTATGTCCTTGACAATAACTGTTATAATTTTGAGCATAGAATATTTGGCTTACTCTACATTATTTGAGAATAAATTAAATATTTTCGATAATGTAATATTTATAACAATCACATCTTCGGTGACACATTCTACCACTCATTAAATATACCTCATTAAAAGTAAACGTTGCGATGGGAGCAACTTTAGATTCCGAGGGAGCAAATTGGGAGTAATTTTAAAGATATAAATTATTAAGAAACACTAATATTCCGTACCAACTATTTTTCGGTATACATACTCGGGGATAACGAATTCCCGGGTGTGAGCACTCTCAATTTCTCTCTGGTTGCTCATCTTTTGTCCGCATTTACACTGTTATACGAACACCATTTTTGTTTCTCAAGCACTAGATTTAAAGCATAAACAACGCAAATTCGTACACTTCATTGCTGCAGAAAGAATAATCACAAGAACATTGTTAAAATCACAATTGTTTGCAAAGGTTCCTACTAAGTACTGTCTTGAGCTCCTCGTTCAGTTCACATTTGGACAGCTCTTACAGAGTTATGCGAACAACTTTCCTCTTGAACAAGCATTAGATTTGAAGCTTAAAGAACGTAGATTAATCCCCATATATTCATAATAACAATAACTTACCAGAACTCTGTTAAAATCGCAATTAATTGCGGAATACCACTGTTTTTTTGACCGGTGGCGCCGCCCGTGGCAAATCGCTCAAACTGCTAGCCAAATTATACCGACAGGTGAGTGAATTTTCTGGCGGTGGAAAAATGCTAATATCTCAGTAATTAGGAGCTCACAATAAACGTCCTTAGTCTCAAATTGTTCCTGACGACTCAATACGTAGCCCCAATACTGCAGAAACGCAGAATTAATCAAATTATTTATGTATATGTTAATGAAGACCCTTATGGAGTGGTAACCCCAATCGCAGCAGGTTACAATCACGTTTATATCGTTAAACGAGCATAACTTTTCATTCCCAGGCTTTGGATTCCAAGATCAAAGAACGTAGATTAATATCCTGTAGCGACTGGGAACCAGGAACATTAAGAACATCATTAAAATCACAATTATCTGCAACGGTTGACACTGTGTCTCATCATGCGTACGTCTTTTAGGTCACTTTGGACCTCTCTTACAGCGTTATGTGAACAGATATCGACCTAATTAAGCATTCGATTTGAAGCTTAAAGAACGTAGATTAATCCACATCTATTGAAAATGACTATAAATGACCAGAACACTGTTAAAATCGCATTTAATCGCGGAATACCATTATTTTTTTGACCGGTGGCGCCGCCCGTGGCAAATCGCTCAAACTGCTAGCCAAATTATACCGACAGGTGAGTGAAAATTTCTAGTGATGGAAAAATGCAAATATCTTAGTAATCAAGCATTCAAAATGAACGCCGTTAGTCTCAAATTATTCCTGAGGCCTTCATGCATCGACACAATGCTGCCAAACCCCTAAATTAGTAACATTATTTATACCTGTTTTAACGCAGACCCTTATGGAGCGGCAACCCAAATTGCAACTGGTTCCGATTGCATTTACGCCGCTGAAAGGTCATCATTTTCCTTCGTCACGCATTAGATTTGAAGTTTAAAGAACGTACATTAGTACTATCTAGCGGCAAGGAACCAGTAATTACAAGAACATTGTTAAAATCTCAATTGTTTACAACGGTTGACACTCTATCTCGCGATGCGTACCCGGTTTAGTTCACTTTAAATAGCTCTTCC